CCCAGCCCCCCATCCCATAGCTGCCCTGCCCGCCTTGATTCCCGGCCCTTTAAAAAAAAAAAAAAAGGCCCGAGTTACTGGCTCCTGCCAGATGAGGGGACAATCCCTGCTGCCCTGCATTGCTCCGCGCTGTGTGAGGAGCTCTGCCACAAGCCCCAGAAGCCCCGAGGCCACTGCAGCAGCCAGTGAATGGTGGCTTTTTTCTTTTTTTTTAAAGGGCTGGGAGCTGGGGCATGCAGGACAGCCATGGAAGTGGGAGGGCTGGGAGAGCGGGCAAGAGTTGGGGGGCACTCAGCAGGGCTGGGGGAGCATGCAGGGGATGGGGCCTGGCTTGGATCCCTCCATGATCCCCTCCTCCAGCCTTCCCTTCCCCACCCCCTACTTACCAGCATGGAGTCTGGGTCCAGTCCCCTGCTGCAGTGAGCGGGGACTGCCCAAATCATCAAAGCTCTCTGAATCTTTTCCGCATAAGTGACTGGTGCCTCCTGAACCTGGGGGGGCACCCGCAGCAGCCGCTGACCCTGTCAGGGTGGGGCACCAGCCCTACTGACAGCATCAGTGTGGGCTGTGAGGGGGACACTGTCCCCATCGGGGGAGCATGTTCACCCCTGTGCACCCCCTACCAGTCACCTATGCTTTTCCAAATCAATTCGGAGAGCTTCAAATCAATTCAGACCTTTTAACTGGTCTCCTGATTCAATTCAGATTCAGAGATTCAGGCACCAAATTGGGCCAAATCTCCTCCGAATCAAATCAGCACCCAAAGCTTCACACAGCCCTAATGAATATGCTTTGGTGGCTTCCTTGTGATGGCTGCTGCCTCCTGGAAGGACTTGTACTGAGAGAAGGCCTGGGATGTGGACAAGCCCTATGTTGTTAAGGTCACCTATTCCCTGGTGGAGCCAAGCCCCTTATCTCTACCCCACAGTGATTTCTTTGTCCTGCCTGCTGTTTGCAACATTTCCCAATTTGCAATCTATGAATCTGTTTAACAGGATTATAAACCCCCATACCAGGCTTATAGTGAAGGTGTTTTAAACAAGCAGAGCATGGGGCATACATTACCTTTCCCTTAGCTTGACCTATGGACATGGATCACTATCCTTCCTCTGACATCTGTTCAAGAGGATTTGGGGGTTATGACAAACTGCCCAGAGATTGACAGTGCAACACTAACCCTAAAGCCACTGAGTCTTTCTGCTAAGGGCATCCTGTTTGAAAAGTAGCTCCTCCCCTGCAGTCTGGATGGTCATCCTATGTTCCATACATGGTTTCACTGGAGGATTCAGTGAAGTTATTCTTCATTTACAATGATCAGAGAAAGCTCTGAATCATGCACTTAACTCCATCTTACTCAGGCACATTCTGGTTCCTAAATCATAGCCCACAGCAAAGAGTCAGGTCCCAGGGTTCCAGTCTGGATGGACACAGCCTGGACACAACTCACTTTGAAGTAGGAGCCAGGAGCCAGGCTTTGCCTTGTGCAAAGCATTATGCCTGGCACTCTTATCTCTCTGGTGTCAGGAGCTGAAAGGAGCTGGGGCCTGAGGTTGTGCTTTTCCATTCCTGGGTGTTCACATGACTGGCTAGCCATGACCTTGCCTGTTTACCTCAAAAGCTGAGCTCATTATGTCCAGCCTGCAGCCTGTGTAACAGGAGCTCTGTCTCCCAGCTGTCCCTGCGGTAGCTTATCTCAGTTCTTATCTTCCAGGTCTTTTTGATGGTGTTTAAACACCCATGATGAAAGGACTTGGAGTAAACAGGGAAGGGCTGACCACTCCTTCCTGTAATCCAATAAACTTCCTGCTCTCCCTGTTATGCTTCAGGTGCAATGCCAACACTCCGTTCTCTACTCCAATTTGTTTTGCCAAATATTAACTAATTCATTCTCCCAGTCCCTGAGAACTGTTGCAGTATCATTCTCCCCATTTTCCAGAGGGAAAAGTGCACCAGGGGGATTAAAGAACTTGGTCCAGGTGACAGAGAGATTGGTGTCAGGACAGAGGAGAAAACAGACACCCATTTTTGGATTGTGTGAGCCCTGTGATCAGATTTCTAGGCCAGAAAGTGAGCGCATCTGCTCTAGATTCACTGAGATGGAATTGATAAAGCCCCTTATTTGACAAGATCATTTTCTGAGCTGTTTTCTGAGAAGAAGGGATAGCTGTCTGGGATGTTAATTTATACTTGAGATAAGCCTGATTTATATTCTGAACCTGGCCTTCCCCAAAGTATGGGGCTAGAATTCAACTCCAGGCCAAAAAGAGATTCTGTTAATGGAGGAACTTAAGCCTCTGGTTTACAGAAGCTTTTTGTTTGCCTTCCTGACAGCAGATGCAATGGTTGGAGCTTCTTCTCTGAGCCTGGATCAGTGCTCACCTGCACCTCAAAGCAGTGTGAGGTCAGTGAAGCCCAGAAGATACAAGACATCAGGATACAAGACCTCAGGTTGAGGATTAATTGGCTGTAGGACAACTACCAGCCATCTGGGGGCCCTGGTGGATTTCTAGTTCCTGTTCATTAGGTTTCAGGAGTCATTCAGCCAGTAGCATAACTAAGTTGGGATGACTAAGTTGGGATGACTGGGGTAGCAGTCTCAGATACTGTCTCGGGGTGGGGGCATGAAAAAATAGCAGCTGTTGCCACAGCCACATAAACACAGCATAACGGCAGCCAGAAGTCACTAATGCCTCTGTGCATTACAGCTGCCCCGGGCGCCTGACTTCTTACACCTCTGCATTCAGCTTGCCTGTCAGACACTCCTACACACACACACACACACACACTATCCCTGTGCTGAAAATTCAATGAGGGATGCACCGTTGGAGGGATCCGGCCTCAGTACAGAAGCTCCAACTATCACATCTACTGTCAGGAAGGCAAACAAAAAGCTTTTCCAAACACCTTTCCTTGCTGGCTCACTGGGAGACCTGTGCCTTTTCACAGCTGTCTCTATAACACACGCATTGGCATTGCCCATGAATAGCTGTTAGTTTTCCAAGCCTTTACCTTCATGCGGCTGTAGACAGTAGAGACTGGTGTGATCTTGTGCTGCCGGTGTGCACCGATGATGCCACACAGCCCACAGATCACCTCTTGGTCAGGCTCACAGAAGAGACTGAGGGGGTTGTGGTGGACTGGGCAGGACTCTTGAGTGGGGTTTGACTCGCCCATGGCTTGCAGTGCCTCAATGACCCGGGCGAGTGTCACGTTGGGCGGTGAGCTGCTGCAGTCAACAGCCTGGCGGCACACAGGACATAGGAACTGCCTGTCCAGGTCACATGACAGGGACACCACACAGGACTTGCAGTAGGAGTGTCCACACTGGAGCATCAGGGGTTCCTTGAAAACCTCCAGACAGATGGGACAGAGAAGCTGGTCCTCCAGTTCATTGATACTCATCTTCCGAGCCATCCTGCAATGGGCTTCTGTCCCCAAAAGTTTGGTTGGTCCAGTCTTGTTGGGGGATGGAGTGGGGAACACCCGGTCTGGAAAATATGGAGAAAGTGAAAACATTTCCTAATGTAATGAGGAAGATGCTTGTGGTGGAAATGTATCACCCATAGGCTAAGGGACTTAGGAAGAGCACAGCATTGCCAGCACTGAGTAAACCTTCAGACACATCAATCCCTCTGGAGATCCCTCTCATAGGGAGAACATTTCACTGGGGCTGATATAAGGGTGCTTCCAATACCTTCCAATCAGGCTAGGACATGGAATGAAGGACAAAAGCTTACAGTGCTGGGTCCCTTCCTGACATTCAGCACCATCAGTTAATGAAATGTGAGAGTCCTGCTTATGGAACAGAACTGAGGTTTGTGAAAGGGAGAAGCGATAGCTAGTTATTCCTGTCACACCTGGTGTAGAGGGTCATGAGGGCACAATATCCCTGCCTCCCCTGTGGGGTTCCACACAGTAATCCTTCCCTACCAGCCTGCTCAACATCTGTTTGAAATGGCATGGGAAGGTTATTTAGGTTTTCTAGCTGAGGTCTCCCTGTTGAGCATATTCCTTTTGGGTCTAATGAATCACAGAGCCCATGCACACTCAAGTGCCAGAACTAAACAGATAACTCCAAGCTCAATGCCTCTTTTTCTGCTCACATGAACACCATCATCTCCCACATGTCTCTGTGCCTGGAGAACTTTAGCACTCGGACAAAAAGCAGCAAACCCAAGGCAAACCACGGCCAAGCAGAGGTGATGTTTGTATAAAGCAAGGGCAGCATGGCAAAGAATTTGCCACTACTGTGCAGTCATCCTTGATGAGCAATCCTTTAGACAAGGAGTCTAGAGAACCAGAAACTTTGTCTAAAGGAATCCAGAAAACCAGAAACCTCCTTTAGAGCAAAGCTGCAATCAAACCCATTGCCTTGACCACATCTTCCCACAGTAAATCACACAAGCTACCAAGGGAACAGGAAGACAGAAGAGACCCTTTTCTGTGCTGTATATAGTAGGCAAAAAGTAAAGCAATGAGCACAGAGAGACCACACAGAAATAATTAAAATATAATCCCAAAATAACATAGAAAAGATAGATTAGCAAGTACCTCCAGAGAAGACATCAAGAACACAAAGAACACTGATAAAAAATGGGAAGGAAGGATGTGGAGTAGATGCTTCAAATAAAGTGAATTCAGTCTCCTCTTGGCTTAACAATGCATTGATTGGGGAGGTTTTTTTAAAATGAATTCAGATAAATGACCTTACAGTCCTTACCAACTCCCAGCAGCCAGCAATACTCAGCTTTCAGGGCTCTGGCTGTTTCTTTGGCTCCTGCAGACTCCTTCACAGCTGCTGAGTGCCCACCAGGAGAGTGTACCTTGATGCGTATTATTCAGCCTGCCTGTCTCTGACAGACGTTACGTCTCTTTCAAGCAACAGAACATGCCAAGTGATGGATCACAACTACCTCAGCCTGAAAGTGAGAAAACCCTCTCAACCGGCTTCTTCCTTTTCTTTGTCTTCATGTCTCACTGAGAGCTCCCCCTTTTGTCTTCAGAAGCCTGTTCCCCATAGAGGAGAAAGGTGAGACCTAGAGCCAGCAACCACAGAGAGTCAGGTCTAATAATGAGAACCCAGCTATTCCTCCACACCCATCCATGGTGGGTACTTTGTGGCAACACCTACCCACACCCCTTGCTCCACTCCCCCAAGCCAGTGCAGCACAGTGCTTGCTGGAAAGCAGGTGCAAGCACACATCTTATGACCAAATAGCCAGCCACAGAGAGCTCCGTGCTTGATAAGAGACTTGGATGTTTGTTTGAGTCAACTTCCAGTTTCCAAGAAAGTCCTTTTGCGGTTTAAGGGGAGCCAGTCACATTAGTAAAGTTGGGAGAAATGTTGAGAAACATGTGTCACAAAACATTTTTACTAAATAAGTTTGGATTTTTGGGTTGTTGGGGGGGGTTTGGCCAAATGAAAATTTTAAGTTGGAGTGAAGTTTTCTGGGAGTTTCTTTGAAACCATCCTTTCTTAATTCTTTTGGATTTTTTGAAAATTTATAGTGCTGATTTATGTCAATGCAGACCAAAGGCTGAGGTTGATATATATGAAATTGAAGAAAAAGGCATCTCTGTCAAGAGGACCCAGCTGTGGAATGAGCTTCCAGAGGAGCTTAGGTGAAGTAAAAAAAGAATGATCCTGTAGTTGGGGTACAGGAAATCTGATTTCTAAATTCCACACTTGACTTCCAGTGTGATTTTGGCCAAGTCGCCTTCTCTGAGCCTTGATTCCTATCTATTTAATGGGGATACTATCATACTAACATTTTCCAACGTCACAGGTGTCACCACTACATACTTCATAAGACTATTCTAGGGATAAATCCATCAAAGATTGGCAAGCATTTATTTGGATACTATAGTAATGGTGGCCAAAGGATTCTTTTTTATATGAATTTTTTTTTTTAGTAGATGCCTCAAAACCTGGATCTTTGTTAAAAGTCTTTTAATTGTAGCAAGAGTGGCACCTCCATACTGTCCTCAAACACACACAGAAAAAAACCATAAAGATGTATGTAACACACTCAAGTAACCTAAGAAAAAGACATCCCTCAAACCAAACAGAAAAGATACCCCGGTGAGAGCTTTTATCTCTCATCTTTTATCTATTGACTCCTCTGTGAAATCCTATGAAAACCTGGATACCTGACTTTCTCTCTTGATGCCACATAAGGTCAAGTAGGGATTCGTGGTTGCTGATCTGTTTTATATTGAGGGTGCTGGGGCATGGGGATGCTCAGACAGGTACTTCTACACCCGCACCTTCTTGTGCGAAGTAATTAAAAAAATCACAAGAAAGAAAATAGGCGCCTCCTGCTGCTCTGCTAGTGACCCCTTCCCCTGGCTCCGGCTCTGCCCCTCTGTGCTCCCTGCTCCAGCTGCTCTCGGGCTCCTACATTTTGGGTCCGCTTGAAAACTCCCCACTTTACTGAGAGACCTCATAAGCAAGGAGGAGCCTTTCGAGGAACTGAACTTCCAAGAGCGGCTGAGGAGGAAGCCCGCGCACAGCACAGCCCCACCCCACCCCGCCCCGCCCCGCCAAGGACACCCCCAGCCTCCCGGCCGCCGCAGCGCTAAACAACGCCG